TCCTAGATTTGAAACGATTATTTAACCAAAGTTAGTTAATAACATAAAGATATAAAATTCAATAATCTACGCAATATCATATCATATTTATATTTAAGTAATATGATATTATCAGAAAGATGATTTGTAGAGATTGTAATTGAATTCACGAGTTGATCTACATTAGACCATAATTAAAGACCTGAAATCCTCAAACAGATGCTGGATTCAAATCTTGCACACAGAATACTAGATACATATTGTTGACTAGTCTCGTACATGGACGAAACAGTCATCCATTGCTTCCAGGTTTTTAAATGGTGGTCTAACTTTAATCGGCTCAGGAATTCACCTTCCAGTGTTTTTATACATATTTATTTCCCTTGAATAATTCCAAGTTTATGTTTGTTAAATTATCTTTATTCTCTTCTTCTTCTTCTTCTTCTTCTTCTTCTTCTTTTGTTGTGTGTGTTCCACATTCATTCATGTTTTGATTAAAATAATAAATTGTAAAAATTTTAATTAAATTCTTTGAAGAAAAATTAAACGACCTAATATCTTGAAACTTATGAAATGAAGTGAAACAAAGAAGGAAAAAATACTTTGTAGAAATGAATAAAAGATAATTATTAATGACTATTCTAAGTAGTATATAAACTCTGTTTTAGTTTTAAATAGGAAATCATCAAACTAAGAACAAAATACAAAATCTAATTATTAGGCTAAATTTTGTAGAACATTTTAAGAAAATATAAGATGTACATTAATAAACGTGATGGTTGATGATTGAAGGTAGTCAACAGGAAACTCTGGATCATCAAATCATGATCAATCAATCGTAAATAGATCTCAGTTCTATAGGAGGTCAGTCACGATCTGGATAGTCTAGTGGTAACGTCTCTGACTGTGAAGCTGTGTGACAGGGGATCGACTTCGTCAAGGAGTATCAGTTCCCTTGAGAATACAGGTACAGCTTACTGACGAGTGCCAAGTAACACGAAATCTAGGTTCAGGGTTTCCTGTTGACTATCTCACAACACCACATTATCTCAACATAATGCATGCAATTTTGAATCACCTAGATTAGTGACCACATCGCAACTTGGTCGAGAGGATTTGATTTGCACTAAGAATGACCTGACATGTATGATATTGATCACCACCCAGTGATCAATCAATTGTAAACGTGATGGTTATTTGATGCTTTCCTCTCGGTATCATTCTTCATTCAAACAAATTATTGGATAAATGATAGCACCATTTTGATGAATCAGTCATTTATAGCCAATTTTCCGAAAATTTTGTTAAATCGACATAGTAGTGGAATTCAAGTGGTAAGTTTTGTTTTACATAGGGCTCGCCAGCAATAAATACCTGCATCCCAATTTTGGATGTTTCACACTAGTACTCAGACCCAATACCTTTCACTTCAAATGCCAAATGTGTTATCCATTGAGCCACTATATATATATATATATATATATATATATATATATATATATATATATATATATATATATATATATATATATATATATATATATATATATATATATATATATATATATATATATATATATATATATATATATATATATATATATATATATATATATATATATATATATATATATATTCGGAGAAGTATCAAGGATGAACTCCCGATTTGGATCACCTTACTGTGAATTTATCAGTTTACTAGCTCTTGTGAGGTAAGTCATATTGAGCAAACAAGGCGTGCACTTGGTAAACGAATGTCTAGGCACTAGACTACACGACTATCTAAGAAGGAATAAAAATCGAGCAACAGCTCAGTGCTTGAAAGTACGGTCAGCTCGGGCCACAATCCAACACGTGAAAGTTTTGTAAAAATTATGCATGACTACCATTTGAACAAGTTAGACTGTTAGATAAAAATACTACCTCTAAATACAGTTGTACAGCTTCAGAGAAGGATATCATCGCAAAGAAAAAGTTCCCCACTGAAACGTCTTTATATCTTTTGAGCCAAACCACCTATGAGGGTTCTTTAAATCTTCCTCTTGATGTTAGGGACTTAAATTATTCAGTCTCCTGTTCGGATTAACCTGGGAATACCATCAATCCATAGGAATATTAAACAGATTTGAATGAGAATTCATGAACATTAGACAAGCTGGTGGCTCTGTGGACTCACTAGCTTAATGGAAAACGTGTGAAGCATTCAAAGCTAAGAGCACTAAGTTTGAATCACCGTGTGAACATTGACATGGATGAAACTACATCTAGATGAAGATTCTCAAGTGAGACGAAAACCTACAGCCTGGATTCCACTGATATCCCTATCAAATTCATATTAACAAATTTTATGGTGAAAATTTCATTATTGAGGTGATTTTAAGATAAACAAACTTAAGGAACGATTCCCATTGTTTCATTTCTACAGTGTCTGAATAATCGACACGTCATTCGAGACAAATACCAACTATTGTTGAGGAAGAGTTTTTCTACACAATACGAGTGGGACCTCATTTAGTTCCAACAACAATTATTCTCAAAGTGTGGTTGATTATCGTAAGTATAAAATAGATTACTAAATATATTTTGAGTTATCTTCAGTCGTGATATACTATGAGAAAGTAAACATCAGAAAAGTTATATTAACTGCAAACTGTATAGTTACTTGAGTGTGAATGATCATTGAAATTAGGAAAGAAGAGAAACACAACCAAACAACAAGGGAAAAATTAAAAATCTTGTTTTCATTTGAATATCTTCACATGACACACTCAACAGATTCAACAGTTTATAGTTTGCTGGTCAAACTTTAAACACCGTTCAGTAAGCAAATGAAATGAAATCATTACTTGCTTGAATATTTTGTAAGTATTTTGTCATTTTTCGCTACAATAAACAAGTGAGAAAATGATATCCTGGTCACTATAGGGACTGAATGGCTTAAATTTGCTCCATTGACTTGGGTTTCATGCTAAAATTGTATACAGGTTTCAGTTACCAAGTCCTCACCCTACATTCGTTTGAATATCTATTTTTGATTGAGATCATGAACTGATTGGTGTTAGACCACCACTGAAAACGTGGAAGCAATGGACGGCCGTTTCGTCCTATTGTGAGATTCCTCAGCTGTGAGCATCCACGAGTCCGCTCGAAGGATTCGAATCCAGGACCTTCAGTCTCGCACTGAGTCGGCATCCAACAGTGTTAATTTTCCATTCACAAAATTGTGTGACCATCTTCTATTGTACTGAGGTAGATACCTGCCTCTACCTTACATGGATTAGCTCCACTGGTCACGGCTTCTCACTAGAACTCCTAAGATTCCCTCGCGAAGTTAGTCACTAGTGAGCACATGGTAATTATCAGTATAGGGTTATGGAGATTATTAAGATTAACAATTTTACATGTTTAACACTAGTAAAACCATAATTTTCAAGCATTCCTATGAAATATTTAGAATTCAAAAGATTTAATGATTGTAAATCTAAAACCTGATACCTTTCAACTCACACTCTTAATACACTATTTATTGAGCTATTTCTAAATCCAGTTACATATTGACTTGTTAAATATGTATGATGTTTATATCGCTACTCATCACATTCACTTTGGTGAATATATTTTGTGGCGTAGTGTCTATATCCTCATAAGATGAACACATATTTATTTATTCGAACACATAAATATTGATACAAAGAGGAACCGAATACATATGAGTCACATAAATCATTCGATTTGTGTGACGGATGGAATATTGCCCTGGTACCCAAACCAAATCAGCCGATTTTCTTAGGGGGCCACACTCCGACCATTTGATCTAAAGGTCTAATCCACAAGACAGTGAGCAACGTAAGGTGATGTAGTCCATAATTTCCAGTGACCAACGATTGGTTTATAGGCCATTTGTTCCTTGAAAATCAATAGCCCACATACACCATTGATTTGAAATCAGGGTTTTTCAACTTTTCTAGGTGGATCGTCCTCAGACATTCACTTTTGATCCTCCCATATTTGTAAATAACAGCAATACCGCAAAGAGGTAGTGACTAGGATTTCCCTGGCAATGATTGTGTGCACATGACTACATGAGAGCATTTCGATAAGTAGAACTGACTCTTCCCACTCTTGGATGTACCAGAACATCATAAGATAAACATTTCCTAACAAAGATTCATTCATTTTCAGTCATAAATATTGACAATAGGATAATTCAAACATTTCTTGATAGACATTTCTTTTTGTTCCAACTAGAGCCCTTTACATTCCTGCATAGTTATAATCTTACCATTTAAAGTAATCTATTTGCCAATTCTTATTATCTAAAAGAAACACCACTAATAATAATAATAATCTTTTCAAATCTAAAGTCATTTTTCCTTACAATCATATAAAATTTATGGACAAATTCTTTAACTAAACTATGAAAGGCGGCTAACTGAATAATTTAAATATTGCGGGAAAATTAAGTTGAATATTATTTAAATGAAATATTTAAACAAAAAGACTTTAGTTACTTTTACCTTTCAAACTTTTAACATGGATATATTTAGGAGAAAAAATGAAATGACTTTTTTTGTAAATGCGTAATTTTTGAAGAAAGAAAAGAAAAAAAAGAAAAGAAAAAGAAAGAAAGAAAGAAAAGAGAAAAAACTAATTAAGAACGTTTTGCAGATGAATGAATGGTATAATGAAATTATAATGATTAATTTACTGCAGAGAAAAAAAAACAACAAAAAAAAGAACAATGAATAATGATAATGGCGTAAATGTGAATTGCTTATTATTATTATTATTACTATTATTAGTATTATTATTGCTAGTACCCTATTACACTTTTCATTCTTTTGTATAGACAGAATGCATTTAACTGAAAACAATGTTTTAAAAAATGTAATTAGCAAATAATGTAACTAAACTTGGTTCAATTTTATAGAGTTTGTTGTTAAAGAGAATTTCTATAGTTTATTATGTAATCGAATCAATGATACAGTATGGATCAGGTTTATAGTGAATAATTGGAAAATATGATGATGATGATGATGATGATGATGATGATGATGATGATGATGATGATGATGATGATGATGATGATGATGATGATGATGATGATGATGATGATGATGATGATGATGATGATGATGATGATGATGATGATGATGATGATGATGATGATGATGATGATGATGATGATGATGATGATGATGATGATGATGATGATGATGATGATGATGATGATGATGATGATGATGATGATGATGATGATGATGATGATGATGATGATGATGATGATGATGATGATGATGATGATGATGATGATGATGATGATGATGATGATGATGATGATGATGATGATGATGATGATGATGATGATGATGATGATGATGATGATGATGATGATGATGATGATGATGATGATGATGATGATGATGATGATGATGATGATGATGATGATGATGATGATGATGATGATGATGATGATGATGATGATGATGATGATGATGATGATGATGATGATGATGATGATGATGATGATGATGATGATGATTAGTTGAATTCATGACTTAATCAAAGCTAGACTACTATGAAAAACTGGGAAGTAATGGACGATGCTGCAATTTCATTAACTGATTGAAGTTGGACAACAACACTGTTAGATGCCAGCTCAATTGTCTAGATGTTAGGTGTTCGCGCGCGAGACCATAGGTCCTAGATTTGAGTGTGGCATGCAGGATCGTGGACATGCACAAGTGAGGAGTGCCATACTACAATGAAACGGCTGTCCAGTGCTTTCAAGTTTTCCATAATGATCTAGTTTTAATCGTCTATTAAATTATTACATTCTCCACAAAACATCTTTTTGATATGTTGATTGTTTGAATTCAATGCTGAGACTATAATTTATACACAAACCAATCAGAGTTAGGAAAATAGATCTTAAATTTTGGTACGAAATTCATTCATTCATTTGTCTAAATAATGTTTTGGCATTTTAACTATTGTCAGTTCATGATGAAAACAATAAATCTAATCCCTAACCCTAACCATCAATTGTAAATCATAATTCTCATTTTTCACACAGGTTTATAACCCTCATTTAGCTCTAGTAAGTTGGTGAACATTTTCAAAGTTATTCTAGAATCGCTCAAAGGTCCTCTATAAATTATAGTTTCACCAATCCAACTTAATGGTTGAATATTAGATTTTATTTTAATTTTGAACTATTTAAGCTATATGTCAAACACACACAAGGACTGACATTTGCAAATATCATATTTAGTTCAATCACTATATGTCAGTATTATTGATATAATTAAAATTGTCATAAAGTTAAAGAATATTTTAGCTCATCAGCTGACTAAAGTTTATCAGGAGATACAAGGTGATTTTAAAAAAAGTAGGTTATATTGAATGCTTTGAGTATACTTGAAACACTTAACATAACTATCCTAGGCCAATACATTCAAGTTGATTGATGGAAATTCATATTGATCAAGTGATAAACTATTATTGTGATGATATGGGATTTTGTGAAAATGATAGACGTTTCATAGATTTTAAATCACTAATTGATCTTGGTTAGTTCAACACTGAAAACCTGAAAGCATTAAACATCTGCCTTATTCTAGTATGAGACTCCACAACAGTGGGCATCTATCGTATGGGATCGAACACAGGATCTACGATCTTGCAAACGTTCAACCTTTAGACCATTGAATCAGAGCCTACTATATAAATGTCTGACTTCAAACAATTCATAATATTAGTATAGGGGTTGTGGAGATTATTAAGTTTTTGATTGAGATCATGAACCGATTGATGTTAGACCACCACAATTGAAAACCTGGAAGCACTGGACGGCCGTTTCGTCCTGTTGTGGGACTGCTCAGCAGTGCGCATCCATTCATGATCTCAATAAACAAAATTCATAATATTATGCAATCATCTTCCATTGTCTACAGTGGATAACTGTTTGATTTTCGACATAGTTCAATTTCATTAATCGTAAATTTTTTGAAGTTAGACATTAACATCACTAGAAGATTGATCAGTAGTCTAAAGGTTAAGCGCTTGCGCTTGTGATCAACGGTGGTGATACCGTTTACCGCCTGTCGGATTGTGGATACGCACTAGGACGAAACGATTCATGATTTGAAACTGTCATTTGCTTTCAGTTTATTTGAATAAACATCCGTGACATTCACAAAAACTTGGTAGAATAATAAACAAATTCATAAGGATGGTAAGCAACTGACGTTTCATAGTATTTTATTGAATATTACTGAAAATATCTTAAGCATAGCAAATTAAAAGAAACCTTACATTATTCAGTCCCTAAAACAATAGAAAATTCAAACATAATGTTTCATCTTTATTCATAGTTTAGAATGACTTGATTGGGATTAGTTTAAATGAATGTCTTCACTAAAAAAATACACCAGTTAAAGTATTAGTTTATCAATTTAGATTATAAAACCTTTATCCGAAAGACACTTTGGTGAGATTATAATTTATGGATAAACCAATAAGATATAAGATAACAGGTCTCAGATTTTCTCATGAAATTCACTCATCCATTTCGGTAAATAGAGCTTTGGCATTATAGCTGATGTCAGTTCGTGATGAAAACCCTACATCTAATTCCTAACCTTAACCATCAAATGCAAATCATAATGTTTATTCTTCAATCTGCTTTATAACCCTCATTTGGTTCTATTTATTAGGTGGACACTCTCAAGGTCACTTTAGCGTCGCTCAAAAGTCTCACAGATACTTTTACAGATTATATCCGATATTCCACTTATGAATTAACAACACATTTGATCCCGAAATTCGCATAAGCCAAACTAAGCGATTCTTATTCAACTGAGATGTTTCATGTAAAAAAAGAATAGCCGCATAGTTCTTAAATAGTTTTCACAGTAAACTCAGTATTGCAAACAGGAGTTAAACGGATCGTTGTAATGTTCTAGTTTAAAACTAATACGTAGCATGTATACATTGGTTAAATAATAAATTATGTATGAGACATAACATATACAGTTATTGACAACAGAAGGTTTTCAAGAGATATATCCTGGAGTTGTAGTGAGAAGCAAAGGTCAGTGGAGTTCAACCGCGTCAGTTGTGAGGTAGTAACTCACTGATGACAATGGTGGATGTGTTGCTCAATTTCGTGAATTAGTTGAAGTTAGACATTAACACCGTTGGATGCCGGCTCAGTGGTCTAATTGGTTAAGCGCCTGGTGCAAGACTGGTAGGTCCTGGGTTCGAGTCCCGTGAGGTGGGGTCGCGGATGCGCACTGCTTAGAAGTCCCTAAATAGAACGAAACGGCTGTTCATTGCTTCCAGGTTTTCCATGATGGTCTAGCCTCAATTGACTCATGATCTCAACTATTGAAATTACTACAATCTTCACAAAACCCCTTCTGAATAATAATTGTTTTCGAATACTCTCATAGTCGTATCCTTTTATTACAGTTTTTTCCAGGTTAACATTATCCTAGGTAATCAATATTTTCAAGAACTAACGATAGACAATTTATCAAACCTTAGAAATAATCCCTATGTATTTTCTATACAACACAAATAATGTAAAACCAAAACTTCCTATACTCATTTGAATAAAGGCTAGGGATGGTTGGTTGTGGGAGGTATCGAATGAAGATGTGATAAAAATGTATACATTTACTAAAGTTTAAACTTAATTGTAACGGTTAATGCAGATCTACTATTTGAGGTGTTTTGTATCATTTTAATCTATCGCTTAAAAAAGAATATAAATAATGAATGAAATAGATTGAAAAACAGGTCATGGTGGTATAGTTTCATTAATTACTTACCTTGTTTCTGTTTATTTTTTGATTTTTTGTTAACTCAGTATCATTACAGTATCATTCATTCATTGAAAATTTGGTGTTTAACTTATCACTATAGTTTACAGTTCTTCGTTTTGTCTTGGCAATAATGTTTAATTAACAATTTCTAATCCTCATGTGTTCAATAATGACTGGATTTAAGATGTGTTTCCTGGAATTCTACTGATAAACTGTGATCAGTGAAGTTCAACCGTGTTTGTTGTGAGGCAGTGACTTACTGAGGACAATGGTGGATGTGTCGCTCAATTTCGTGGATTGGTAGAAGTTAGACATTAACACTGTTGTATGCCGACTCAGTGTTCTAGAGATTAATCATTTACGCGCGAAATCGAAGGTCCTGGATTCGAATCCCGAGAGCGAGGTCGTGATTGAACACTGATGAGTAATCCCACAGTAGGGTGAAATGGCCATCCAGTGCTTCGACGTTTTTCCATGGTGGTCTAACTTTAATAGACTCATGAATTCAACTATTAGAATATGTTGATATTTATTTAGTTTTCTTTTTTAATATTATAACATAAATCTTTTGAATTCAAGGTTAGGTCTGGCTGAATTAGATAAACAATAATTTGTTTAAACTAATTTTCTATTAATTTAGTAAATTAAGTTCATTTGATTATTTATGAGATTCAAATAGAATGTTATTTTGTAAGAGATTGTAGTGTATTTATTTCTATGTTAAAATTATTAATGATTATTACTAAGAGAATAGTGATATATATATGTATATACCCCCTAAATGCCCTGGTAAGGCCGAGAGTGGAGAGAGTCAAATCTCCCTCTCGAAATGCTCCCACATAGCCATGTGTATACAACCACTACCAGGAAAGGCCTACTCACTGCCACCTTGCGGCGGGAGTGCTGTTTACGAAACTGAAAGGATAAAAAGCGAATGTCTGATGTTTAATCGGGTTGATGGATATGGAGAATCTACCTAGGGGAGTTGGAAAACCCTGATTTCAAATCAATGGTGTATATGGGCTATTGGATTTTCAAGGAACAAATGGCCTATAAACCAATCGTTGGTCACTGGAAATTATGGGACTACATCACCGTACATTGCTCTACTGTCTTGTGGATTAGACCTTTAGATCAAATGGTCGGAGTGTGGCCCCCTAAGAAAATCGGCTGATTTGGTTTGGGTACCAGGGCAATATTCCATCCGTCACACAAATCGAATGATTTATGTAGCGCATATCTATTTGGGGCATTCTTGTACCTATGTTTATGTGTTTAAACAAAATAAAACAAATGGTTGGACTGCATTACCTGAGGCATTTTCTTAAATATATAAAGACTCTAATATCAATGTATATTAACAGAACATGTCTATTGTAACACAAGAGATTTCTATTCTCTACAGTAAATGAAAATCAATATCAGAATAGTTTTTCAACTAGTGAATATAAGAAAAATTAATGAACTGAAACGGGAACAAAACAATAAGAACTAAAGAGAACTATACTACTGTTTACCGATATCAAATTCATAGGGAATTTGACTACTAGTATAGCTATTGATGCATACTGATGATTTGTTATGTTGTAGAATAAAACAGTCATTTTGTATTTAATCGATCTTAAAGTGAATTGAATTATAGAGAGAAAGACTTTTACAAGGTTCAGTGGACACATTCCTAGGGACCTACGTTTGAAATGGAGTAAAGTTTTTATAAG